GATCGCCATCGAGATCGCCGCCGGAAGCCACCGCACGCGCCCGCACGCGCCACCAGGAGGAACCAGTCGCTGGAGCTTGCACCGGCGCGTGAGAGAGTGTGAGAGGTCCGATTTCCGATCGGTCAACGCCGTTGACTTCGCCGTGACGTCAGCTTTCCGGATTGGTCAAGTTTGTTCGATTCCGAGAAGATTTGATTTGCGGTCAACTGTCCGGGCCAGCCAGATCTACATAAATTTTAAGCAGTAAGTTTTCTTCATCAAACCTTTAGATCCGCTGCGCATAGGTTTATGTTGAATGTTTGTCTGTGATTTGTGCATATCGAGATCCTCGTGGGTTCCAACACTCTTATCAATCCATGCTCCTCTGGAATCCTCATTCAAGTTCCTCGACAAACCTTCCTTCTCAGCCATCTCAGATAATCGGAACTAGGTGTGAAGTTTTTCCTTCCTTCAAGAACTTCCCACAAACGGCGCCAAATGATGGGGATCTACTCAGATATAGGTAGAATCGATTGAGATGAGCTTCGCTTCGTCTGAACCGCCTCTGGATGGCCACGAACACCTGCGAATTCGACGCCAGAGGGGTTTTCGGTGTAGATCCTCCGATGCTAAAGTCAGTATCTGAAAGAGAGAAGATGCTTTGTAGAGAGCAGTAGCAGGATCTGAAAATGTATCAAGAGTCTCGAAATTCAGGTTTAGCCACACCTCACCTCCTTTTATAGGGGAAAGTACCTACCCGTAGCACCCTAGGTCGACCACCCCGATTACCCGATTTTATCCGTCTCCCAATCACTTCTTAGTCACATCCGAGTTAGCTTAATATTCATCTTATCCTCTAAAGATTCGTCCTTATCCGTTAAGCCTGCTAAACACATTGGGGGTGGAGTCATACTGTGTGCCTCGAGCCGCAAGAGGCCGATTTAGAGTTGTCACATGAAATCTTACTTTAGGTCCTCCTCGAGGTGAGTGAAGTTGACCTCGAGGAGTAGAGAGTAGACCTCGAGGAGTGAAGAGTTCCTCGAGGGATGAAGAGTTCCTCGAGGTAAATAAAGTCGACCTCGAAGAGTAAGTCGACTTCGAGTGACTTATGGTTCGTCGCAGTAGTCTTCTCGAATCGTCATGCAATGACTCGACTTTTATCCCGGTCGAGTCGCTCATTCACGGTTAACCGTGATATGGCTATATCAAATAGTTTTTACTTATTATTGTTCACCATATAATACTTAATTATTATTTTATTGTCATTTATGTCACTATTATTTATAAAAGTTATAGAAGTTGTACATCTTTTTTTTTTCTTTTTATTTTAGGCAATGAAGAATATTTAATGAACATTAGTATTGTTTTTACGTAATCAATTTAAAATATATAAATACTTTTAAAATAAATAGTACATAAATATTTTATAGAAAATAAACACATTTTTTTATAATTTAATTAATTTTGTCAACTAATCAAACACATGCTGCATAAAAGTAGACTACACCTGGCACATGGCTATTTGTGAAAGGAACGCGCTAATTGACATGATTGATTTATTAAATTCTTATATATAAAATGAACAAAATAAGAAAAGAAAATATAAAGTGGATTGCTATTTACCGCCCCTATTACTAGTCACCGCCCCCCCAATTACGAAAATACCCTTTA